CGAATTTCTGGTTTTAAACCTTTTCACTGGAAGATTCAGTCGTGGAAGAATTACTCTTTGGCAATCAATTAAGATCACCTCAATTGCTGTCGTGTTTGGTTGAAATCTAGTACATTAAGAGCTGCGTATTCAGATGCGAGTGACTATACTATTGATATAGCGGTTATATTGTTGAACTTGGTCCCATGATTTAGCAAAAGAAAGTTCCACAATGCGTGAGATTGTGGCCCTTACAGACGTTCTGCATTCGTTTGCGGCTCAGCGTTAAATGTCAAATGGCCAACGGAAACCAGATTGTTGCGCGTATTATTGATGTCGATAGTAGGAAGTCACGAGTTTCCAAGAGGACCACAGGAATTCAAGCTATGGAATCAAATGTGATGATTTATCTGATGATGAAATAGCACTCTTCAGGTCTTAACAAATCATGCTGCCAACTGAGCACATACAACCATTTTACGTTCAGGATCATAAGCATGATGCAATATGTGCGCATGGAATCATCTCTGGAATCATAACCTGATTTCATGGGTGCACAAAACATCATTCCTGTTGCAAACTCATGACGGCTTGCTGATTTGGGCACCCATCCAGGCTCAATAGATACCCCATGACGAACGCAAATTTATAACATTTGACTTCTTCATGGGTGCCCATATCAAGAATTGATCAAGCAGATTCGTTTATTGTTGACTTCGATGATTGGTCTGTAGGTCCTCACATTTTTCGCAGATTAGACTTGAAATGGGGGTGTCACCCTATTGATCGGGCGTAACCATTTATTACCTATATTTCATTCCAGGTTTTGGAACCCTTACTGTGAAGCTATGGACTCTGTTAAGAGGTCGTGGGACTTCGATAGCAATTGGGTTTGTCCGCCACCTCACCTTTTTCCGAGGGCTCTGAAGCACATAAGGTCTTACTGCGCACAAGGTACTTTAATCGTTCTCCTTTGGCGCCCGGCTCCATTTTGGCCTCTACTCACAACGGAAGGATTTCACCTGGCTTACTTTGTCAAAAACTGAGTGGACCTTTCCCCCTTGAGGACGACTTTCTGCGTGAGTCGCCAGGAAGATGTTTGGGTTTGGCTGTTCGTGTAATATATTGATTTCAGATCTGCGTGATTTTTTATGGCCGGGTTTTGTACTAGTGATCAAGGTTGGTACATTCAATGTTTATTTGCATCAGTTTGGTAAGTTATTCTTTTTCCGGTGTTTTTTTTTTTTTGGGGGGGGGGGTGGTTTCCCTGATTCCTCTGAGCGGACGTGTGTTTTAATATAATGTGCCAATGGGTAGCTTCATCGTTTTTAGTGATTCTTGTTTCATTCAGTGAGTGGCAATCGGATAGTCTGAGATTAGTGGGTGGCCTTCGATAGCCAGCGGGTGGTTTACGCAGACTCCATTAAGATTACTTGATTTAGCCAGTGGTTGGCTTGCGCGTAGTCAGCGGGTGGCTTTTTAGGCGGATGCTATTGGCTTAATTTGTTCTAGCCAGTGCGTGGCTTACGCGGTTCCTTTAAGTCTTTATCATTCTAAGTCTGTGGGTGGTTTGCAAATGGCCAGTTGGCGGTTTACGCAGATGCTTTTAGTCAGTGTTCACGCATCATGTTATCATGTTGTTGCCCCCGCAGGGATGTCGCCCAGAGGGCGAAATCCCCGAGGAGGCACTCTAGTAACTCGCGCGTGTAATAAGGAAAGTATTTACAGTTGAAATATACAGTCATACAGTCAATATAGAAAAAATATCGATTTGCTTAAACAGGGGCCGCGAGGAATCGGTAGGTAATGATGACGTTTCTATTGTTTGCGCCCGCGAGTACGAAATGGTTAGAAAAGACAGAATATCGTAAAGACAGAATATCCCCAAGGGACCGCTTAGGTAGATTTTGTGACATTTATTGTGCAGTCATACTTCGACACTCTTTTGCGATAGGTGTTATGAGTGACATTCTGTGGAGCAGTTGTTTCATTAAAAGTTATGGACCAAAATTTTAACAATGCGTTTGGAGAGTTTGCCAGACACGAGTTCACAAATCTTTCATTGGAAACCTTGCCAGACACTCTTTCTCTCTCTTTGATCGGAATAAGACTCAGCCCTAAGGGACCGGTCATTATTTATCACCTCGGGGGGGTCGGAGGATTTTGGGGGGGATCACTTGATTTTTAGGAGAACAGAGGGGGGGATCAGTCGTAACTGAGAGCCCAAAAGGGGGGATCACTGAAAATTTTGGAAGGATTCAGAGGGGGGACCACTCAAATCTGCTTGAACAATGCCAGTTTGAAAGCATACAACATAAATGTGCCCATTCTGCTGGGAGATGATACCATTTGCAATCTCAATTTGTTCTAACACAACTTTATTTAAAAAACGGACGTCTGTCACAGTGGCGAATGGGTGCATTTCAATTTATTTCGAGAAAGCTTTGTTTTAACGCTTTTATATTTTTCCTTTTATAACGCGCTCATGACTTACCTAATATTCATCTTTAAACATGACAGGTGAATTCTAAATTGTGAACTATATAAACTTCTGATAACTGAAACACTGTAAAAAGCGTGTTTGTTTAAACATAAACCATTTATCGCCTCTCCAGGAATGGGCGTCCTGTGTCAGCTCTATACTAAATTCGATTCAACTGCTTCATCTGCCTCATCTTGAGCCTCATCATCCCATTCAACAACTTCATTTGCCTCTTGAGCCTCGTCATCCGATTCAACAGCAACATTTAGTCCCCTTCGGCAGGTTGACCCTGGACTTTGTGCCCTTAAAATGGCCGCTACTTGCTCTAGATTTTTTGCTAGGGTCGTGCTAAAAATACCCTTTTCTAGTAGCCATAGCAAAGGGTCTAGATGCAAACGCCTTGTTGGTTTCTTAGCAAAGTCAGCATTGATGCTATCTACAGGAGTAACTCTATCATTCTCTTCGATTGAACCGAAAATTTGCCCCGCGACCTCGATTGAGGTCAAGTTTCCTAAGAGATGACGTGCCCTCTGCTTGAGTCGCTTGTCCTTGGTTTTTCGGACCTTCCTCTTATTTTCCTTCTTTCTTCTTGACATTGATATTGTTGATTTTCTCGCGCACAAAGGAAACTTCTTTGACAGGTTTAATAATATGCGCTGTTGTCAACTTGTTGGATGCGGACTGAAGTTCCTCGTGCAGTGTAGTGATTCGCCTATGTGCTTCTTCTAAATAGGCCAACTCATCGCCTGCAAATGACTTTAGAGTGTGGTCCTCTGAAAATTGTCGCTAAATATGACCTGCTGATAGGGACTTGGCGGACTGCTATTTGGCACTCTAAAAAAAAAGTAACTTTGCAGTTTCAAGCACTGATTGCAGTTTCAAGCACTTTGCAGTTTTAAGCAAGATTGCTTGTATGTCAACTGAATTCAGATGTCTGGATCCAGACTAGGAAAAGACACGGATCAAGACACACTTTTAAAAAAAGACTGCGCGATAACGGTTTTATCATGCTGTAAGTACATCATGGTTAGAAATACTACCTGTATATGAACGTTTAAAACACTAAATATACGCGTCGAAAGGTGAATATGGGTACAAAGACATGGGGGGGGGGATCACGAAAGTTATATATAGTTATGAGGGGGGATCACTTCAATAAAATAACATTTATAGGGGGGATCGGCTAAATTTCATCGTGTTTAGCCCAAAATCCTCCGACCCCCCCCAGGCGATAAATAATGACCGGTCCCTAAACAAGCAAGACGAGTGAACAACGGCTACCTTCTCACTAGCAGGACGATGGACGATTACAGAATTTCGCTGACAATCAAATTCTGTGCTGACTTATTCCCTGCTCACAGATGTCCTTCCGCTATAAAGTTTAAAATAACACTAGAATGCGCGAGTGTGAATTGATCAAACGTCCTTTTAATTTCTAATGCTTCCTTTCCGGCAAATAAAATGAACTGAATGTAAAAAGTGAAAGAGAAATACCAAAAAATTCAACTTCTAATTAAATCTTTTCTTATGGTTTAGCATAAACTATTCTCGAAACTGAGAATGTTTTGATCAAAGCTATGTAAATCGACCTGAAACTGTGCATGGAACTTTGCGTTTCCTGTATTTATCTCACCTATTGTATGGAATATGTGTGAAAATCTTCCTTATGAATCGGTATATTTCAAAGAGCTACACAACGAGCCAGAATGCTATTGACCGACAATATACAGAGCGGGGGCAGCTGTAGTGTCAACTATTACTAGTTTATTTTTTCTTTTGGGCAGCGCTTAGCTTAAAGCGAGCTACACCCCAGGGTTGTGTGTGTTTGGTGATGGGTCAAACTGAGATTTAAAGGAGAGTAGTATTTTCCTTCGTTTGACTTTGTAATTAATTCTTATGTTGGTCTAGCCATGTGTGCTGTTATGAGGGAAATTAGCGGGGGTATATATTAGGTCTTTCAACACGGTCTTGCTGTCTCAGCGTTCGGGCTATTTGTTTAGTTATTTCTTTATTTTAGTGGGTTTTTTACATCTTATAATGTGTGTGCGTTCTTTCTTCTTTTACTTTGCAGATGTTCTCAGCTCTACGGTGTGGTCGAATCTTCGGGCTGCTGTTCCCTAGGTATCTGGGGTTTTATTTCCCCTTGCAAGCTCTCTACCGGATGATGCCAGAGCACCCAGTAATTCCTCCACGTATTTCTCTACTTACAACAGCTTGAAGTCTTGGGCCTGAGATAATAGCTTGGTAGCTTTTCCTGCACCTCCGTTTCACCTTGCTATTTAATTAAGTCATTTGATAACTGAGGCGAAGGCAGCGTTCCCCCTGGAATCAGAAGTTTATAGCATTTCCTGGATTCACTGCATGCTTGGGACATCTGTCGGGGAAGTGTATTCTTATCGATGCGCAGCGTTTGTTGGCCTATCACACATCCAAGTAGGAGTACATCACAGTCTCCCAGTTAGGACAGTTAATTGCCTCTTTGTATAATATTCGTTCTGTTGTTATATGCTTGTTAGCCTTTGCTACCTTTCTTAGATTGATGAGCTTGCTAATCTTATTCATTCCGATGCTAAAATCGAAATTGACATGTTAAAGTTATCTGATTAGGTAAAACTGATCTATTAAGGAATGGAGCTTGGATTGTTATAGCTTCATCCGGGAAAGCAACTTATCCTGTTGTTATGATGAGCAGATATTTAGAAAGGGCTAGGTTTGCCTGATATTTTCGCTATTGGTACGCATAGTCTAAGGAGAGGCGGGGCTATTGCTGCCGCAAATGCTTGTGTTCCAGATTGCCTTTTTAAGCGGCATGACTGCTGGTCTAGTGAATCTGCTAAGGATGGTTACGTTAAAGATTCTTTATCCTCGCGTTCGTCTGTTTCTTACGCCTTAGGTATTTAGTTTTCTCGTACATATCTTTTTTTCATTTTTCCTAGAATCTCTCTAGTTGGTCTTGCCAGGGAGACCGTTGAATATGGAGTACAGCTGTCTAGGATTTTCCTCCTAGGAGCAAGTGGACGTACAGGAAGGATTTTTGTTACACGGATTATTTTGTTAGTTTGTTCATTACTCTTGTATGATTATGTTCTGTAAGTTCTCTCAACGTACACCGTCAGATACTAACGGTGAAAATATCAGTGTTCCAACAGCCGAAGAGGGTACCCACAGCCTTCAATTCTTAAGCGAAGAGTACGACGACCTTCATTCCTTTCGAGAGTCAACTAAAGATGATCTTAAACGCCTGAGTGCCCGACTAGCTCGAGTGGAAATTAAAGTAGACGCAATCAGCAACGCAATAGAGGAGATTGAAGATTACAGCTATCAATTCAATGTTAAATTAATTGGAGTCCCGGAGACAAGTGGGAATGAATCCTCAAGGTCGACGAGTTCTCTTTGCGTTTAACTTTTCAACGAGATGGGAGCCGAGGTAACAGTACAAAATATTGACACTGCCCACCGACTGCCCAGCCGAAGCGACCGTGGTTCTGCCCCAAAACCGATCATTTGCAAATTTGTGAGGCGTCTCGCAAAGGAACGTGTTATGGAATGTTGAAAAGATGCAGGCAGTATAAACCCTCCTGCTCTTGGTCTTCCTGATCAAGCTTCTCTTTCTGAGATCAGAATCTTTGATCATTTAACGCTAAAGATGCAATCGATCCCGTATGAAGCGAAGAAATTTAAAAACCAACATCATTTCCAGTATTGTTGGGCCAAGAACTCTGTGGTCTACTTGAGAAAGGATGCCACAGCTAGACCGATCAAGATCAAAGGCATGGACGACCTACAATGACTGGCTGACTTTTCCTAGAAGTGGCGTAAGAATTTGGAACAAAATTCCTCTTACGTTACGTGAACAGCGCAAAGACCCTTTCAAGCGTAAATTACATAAATTACTGATCAAGATTTTGGAGACTAAGAAGGTGTATGTAGATATGAGTACCATTACCAGTTCCTACCTGAACTCGTTATTCAGTTAAAGTGTTTTCCTTCCTTATAACTATAGGTGCTACCTTTTATTTAAACTGTTGTTGTTGCTGTTGTTGTTGTTGTTGTTGAAGCGAGCCGCACCTCAGGGTTGTGTGTGTTTTGTGTTGGGTTACGCTGAGATTTAGAGGAGAGCTGCGGGTTCCCCTTTCCCCCCTACTATAACAATTATTCACCTCTGGGTCAGCGGTTGGGTTAGGTTATTAGCTTACTGAAGTTATAAATATCCGAGTTGAATGTGTATGGTGCAGCACTATTTTCCCTCAGTTAATTTTCATCACATTGTGGCTCTTGAGGATTCAGGAAAATTCCCAATTCGAGTCCAAAGGAGTTCAGTGGTAGATCACTGAAAAACAAGCTTACAAAATGACTGAAGCGAAATGTGATTGCCCGGGACCAGGTTTCGTAATCGGGGGAAAAAGAAAAAAAACGGGGTGAATTCTGAAAAATACGCAAGCGAGGTGAGCCGAGTTGAGGACAGGGGAGGGGTCACTATTCCTCCTCCCCAGACTATCGCTACGTTCGCTTCGCTCGCGATTTTTTTTTTTGCCTTTTCCTCCCACTACAGAACCTGGTCCCAGGCTAGAAATGTGATTAATAAGAGAGGCGCTCACTTAAGGTCGGATTGTTGTAAAGGGTGGGGAGTTCAGCTGTCACCGTTAAGATTTTACAACACTCTCTGGTAACTCTAGCTTTTCTCCGCATCGTAACAGTTTTAGCCCATTATTACTGAAAGCATCACCTTACAAATGCCAAAATCATGAGGTCCGGATATTTCAGAAGGTGACAGCAAACACGAGAATTTAGAAAAACGGGGTGTACCTAGAAGTTGTCTGCAAGATCGATCATGATCTCTTGGGGATATAGCATATTAGGTAAAGGGTAATTTCCTGTAATCACCCCAACAGAGGAAGACAGGCGGTTAGTGGAAAGATCCAAACGTCGGTTTAGTTTAACTATTGACGAGTTGAAGTTATTCCTCGAAAAGGACAAGCGATCGACATCCTTTACGAACAATAGACAAGGAAGAAAAACTGTATCGTGGCTTTCAGCAGAGAAACCTTATTGTAAAGTTAAGAACTGCACGTTCGTTGCAACTGTAACTCTCTTTTTTATGGATTACCCAATATCAACTGAGGAAACTTCAACTGCTACAGAACATGGCAGCTCGTTTTGTATGTGGTGCTCGTAAGTTTGATCATAAAAGTCCAATTCTGGTAAAGCTTCATTGGCTTCCGATTTCCTACCGTGTTGTGTTCAAGTTACTTTTGCTGGTTTTTAAAGCTCTAAATGGTCTTGGCCCTCGGTATTTGGTCGAATTACTTCAATACCAGAATCATTCTAGGACACTTCGTTCAAATTCCCTACAACTTCTTTTGCAACAAAAATCCAGTAATAAAACATATGGCGACAGGGCATTTTCTACATGTGCCCCTGTGCTGTGAAACAATATTCCCTTAGACACTCATAAATCGAACAATGTTTGTACTTTTACAAAAAATTTAAAGATCTAGCATTTTAGGAAATTTATTAATAATGGTTTAATTTATTATTAGAGTTAGATGTTTTATATCTTCTTATTTTATGTATTTATTACTATAATATTACTTTTTTTTTAATATTGTTGTACAGTGCCAGGAAGAACTAGTGGATGTAAGCGCTATAAAAAAGATTCATTAATTAATTACTGTTACACTCGGACATTTTTACATTAGATATTCATGTGGTGTTATCCAGTCCCCTCGCTGCCAAACCATCTCGCCAGCAAGAAATATATATCTATATATAAGTATTAATATACTTATCAAAAGGGCAAGTCTTGCGCTTTGAATACACATTGAAATTTAAGGAGGTAAGGTTGAAGTAACAGTATTACCTAACTTTCATAAGAAAGGCTGTTGGATTTTAAGCAAATCGCCCCTCTCGAGCCTTGCAAATAAACCTATTTTAAAGCTATTAATTAGTTCACAGGTGAACCCACATTACAATCTAGATTCTTTTGAATAATAACCAGATTTAGCACTTCTTTATCCATCAACTTAAGCAAATCAAACAAACAATATTTGTGACATCAAAATATTACTTTCCAAAATTCGGCATCTGCCAGTAATAATATCTCTACCACTTTATTTATCAAATTCCCTTAGCAAGAGATTCAATGGAAAATTTTTGTCTGAATCAATATAGATTCTCAGAAAAAAACTACCTCTAACAGCCTTGTTAAAGCGAAACTTCTAGAACTTAGGGTTTTCTTTGTTTTTTTTGTTCGCGTCTACTTGCAATTAGTTGTAATTGTTTATAGTTTTCTTTTGTTATATTGTTTACTTTCTTTTTGGTGTCACCATCGTTGCGTAATGTTACGTAATCTGTCAAGTTTTTTGGTATAAACTTAGTCTTGTCGGTCAGTGTTTTTTACAGTTTTTATCGGTCAAGAACAGCTCATTCCTTTTAACGTTAAGTCAAGAAACCGTTAAGGTAAATTTTAGTCATACGCCATTTGTACGCTTTTTCGTTTTCTTTGATGTATTTGTTATTTTGTACTGATTTCTACATTTTTCGTAATTTCGTATTCTTTGTATTTTTGGTTGTACAGTACCGTAGGAGTGTGATTTATAGTAAAATAAAGCGGTTGGACACTAATACGCGTGACTTCGGTTACAAGCCTGATGTAAGTGTCTCTTATGCTTTTATAATAACGTTTGCGATTCTTACTAAATTGAAAACTTCCCAAAGTGCAAAGGGATTAAGACTCCCACAATGCAATTGGCACTTACAGACTGTTTAGTTCAGCGGCAGCACACGGTGTCTAACGGCACACACTGTTCTCCGAACAATGGGCTATTGTCTTTCCAGGCCGCTGATTGGTGGAGAGGATCGATTGCGTTGGAAATCGGAAATATCTTAGAACGAGGCTCGGGTGATCGTCGGCAACCTTCGGAAGGCCTCGGCAACGTTCGGAAGCGATGACATCATTTAGCATAAAGGAAGGACACATGAGTAGTTATTATACTAAGGTAAAAAAGTGAACTTATGTGTAATCGGTTCGGGCAAGTCGACACGCGTGCAAAACGTCTGCGCATGCGCAAGATCTCTATTTTCATTAATTAAAAATCTTCCCCATTTAAATTGAAAAACACTTAGGAATGTTTGATATGTTTAATGGTTTGCAGCCGGTTCTAGCATTAAGCACAACAAAAAATTACTTAAACTAACTTAACTTACTGGTAAAGTCGTCCAGTACAAGGTTTTTCCGTCCTTGTTTTTCCACTTAGCATGCATCCAGGTCGCATTGACCGAGCTCAGCGACATGATGACCAAAACAGCAACAATGGCTACGGCGAAGTGCTGCCAGAGCGAGCGTGGACTTTCAAACATGATTTTCGCCTTTGGTGCAAGGAGGAATGCAAATTATCTCCGGTACGGAGTATAGGAGATAATGACTTTCTACGTGTTATTTCTTGGGCATGTTGGTATTATCACCCCTTATTGGTGTTAGTTAATTATCTATTGTGCTATGTAGCTATATATATTTGTTAATGTATGCTGTTTGTCACT